TCAATAAGTATTTACTTATAAATAAAGTTTATTCACATCTCAGAAAGAGTAGATAAACTTCAAGTGAAATAAGATGAGTGACACCGTGAATCTGGTCCACCATAGAAAGAGACGTAGAGACGTTGATGAAGACATTGACTTGTGCATTTTCTGTAAAAAAGTCAAACGTCCGTTGCAATTAAGTTCAAGCGAAAAAGGTATAAAAAACATTAAAAGTGCGACTGAAGTTATTAAGGACGATGTGTTGAAAGGCATTAAAGATGAAAATAGCATAAAGTATCATTTAGCCTGCTACAGACCTTACATATTGAAAGGAAAATGATTTAAAGAAAGACAAGAAAAAGACACTCAGTTTCGGAGTGAACGATTTGAAGATAAGTCACTCAGTCTAATGCAACCAATTAAGAGACTAAAAAAAAGAGTAGTAAACCCCATAATCCGTTAGAAGAGGACGTAAAGAATGAAACCGCCCATGCTCTGCGTTTAATTGACATTTCACGGTGTCGAGGATATGACATAAATCATCTTTTGTCCTATGAATTAACTTCTACATCTTTGTTTTTGACCAGAAATGGATTTCTGACAAAATCAGATAAATCGCAGCTGGTTCATGAACTTGAAAAAAGTTACAAACACCACCAAATTCCGAAACTCCTCAATCACCTGGCAAAGCAACAGTTATAGATTTTATGGCATTTGCAAGGAAGGTACCAACTAAATCTTTAAAACTGAAGACATATGAAGAATTGGTACGAAGCATTTGGAAAGCTATATCCCAAGCATCTTACAAAAGTGAACGCATCGATATTGTTTTCGACGTTTATAATGAAAAAAGTGTTAAAGGGTTTGAGAGGTCCAAGCGATCAAGGAAACAACCTGTAGAATATGGAGCCCCAAATGACAACACGCCACTTCCTGTGGATACTGACGCTTTCTGGGCCTCATCTAAAAATAAAGAATTGTTGCAAGCTTACTTTTTTGAATGGATATCCCGGAAAGAGGATTCATTCACTGCGTCTTCTATCATTTATCTCGGTGGTGTAGTAAAAGATGGTCAGCCAAGATGTTTTGCTATTGAAAACGGGATAGTTGAAGAAGAGCCTACTTTGGAACCCGAACATGAAGAAGCCGATGACAGGATCTTAAGCCATATTTCTCACATAACATTGTCTTCAAAGTTAAGCAACGTAGTTATCTGTTCTACTGATACAGATGTTTTTGTTAGTGCACTCTATCAATACCAACAGAAGTGGAAAAGCTTAGGACTTAAAGAGCTGTGGATTGCTTTTGGAGTAGGCAAAACATCGCGGTACATCCCACTTCACTCCTTTGAAGACAGAGTACCACTTACTGTTTTAACAGCTTTACCAGCCATTCACTCTTTAACTGGCTGCGACACTACAAGCAAGGTTAGTACGAAATTAGCAGCTTTAAAAACAGCTGAATCCTGTGCAGGAGACCTCTTGGTAGAGTTTGGAAAAGGGCCATTAAATGAGGACATGGAAAAAAAGCAGAAGAATTTTTGGTTCGAGCACTTTCTTCAAGTTCATCAACAATGGATAAATTGCGTTTTCATCAGTTCCATCACAAGAAACTACGAAACTTTCAAGATTTAGCACCAACCTCAAGATCTATCCGTCTTCATAAAAAAAGGAGCTACTTGCAATGTTACAAATGGATCCATGCTTTGGAACCATCTGAGAAACTTAATCCCTTGGACTATGGTTATGTAGAGGAAGGTGATTCTCTGATTCCACAAGTGACAAATGATCCAATGTTCCCTGAAGATTTCCCTAAGCCATGTAATTGCCAGACGTGTTTCAGAGAAACTGTATGTCCCTGTAGAAGATTGAAAGTAATGTGCTGTGACTTTTGTAAATGTAAGAGTAGTGTTTCAGACAATTGCAAGAACCCTCATACATAATTTTGCAATTCTTGTTCTTGATAAGATTTGAAACCCTAAGTTTTGGAAGACTATGTCTCTATATAACTTTTATCAGTAGGTAAATAGTAATGTCTCTATGTAAGTTAATAGTAAATATATATTTTAAACACACGTTTAAGTCTTTTAATATATTTTTAATTGATAGTTTTAAGCTTTTGTAACGAATGGACGCATTAACCAACAATTATTTCCACAACGTTACTGGAAATATTATAAATGTTAATTTATCTCAATAAATAATGGGTTTAGCAAAAAAGTGTAAATACAAAAGTTGTTTGCAATCACATATGGAGTAAAATGAGCTTTAGAAAATTAAAATCGGACCGCTGGGTGCGGAGATACGTATTAGCAAATAATCTAGCGTTTTGGCGGCCATTTTCCAATATGGCGGCCAAACGACCATGATTTGGACCACGTGACCAGTATTTTTTTAAGCTCCCAAAGGTGTTAAATAAAGCCCCACAACAAAACTGAGGGCACATTAAAGTGCACACGGGAGTTGGCCTAGCTCCTAGACTAAACCCTAAAATAATAGAAACAAATTGTAAACAAAACACGACATCTACAGAAAATCGGACAGAACTAACAATAAAATTGGCTTCAGCTGTTCAATAAGGATGGGAAATCTACTAAGGGACTATGTTTTATAGGTTTTATCTATGGTAATATGTAACCATAGGGGTTTCTATAATCGCTTTGTTAACCAGATCTCCGCCATTTGGAATTTTATTATCTTTGGATTGTTCAAACCGCAATAGTATGTATGGTAGAAGTAAGAGATATGTTATAGAAACAAATTTATTTGGCCCAATTCAAAATTTTTAAATAATGGCAGTTTAACTACATATTTTAATAAATTAATTCCAAAAAATAGCTGGTTTAATGAAAAAATGTCAGATCACTTTTATTTAGAATTTAAAATATCCTATAAAACGACCAAGATAAAAAAATACCCCCGCCACAGCAAACCTGCAGACTTAGCGAATTTCCATTTGCCTGATTGGATTTAAACTAAAATGTCTCCTTAAAAATATCACATTTATTCCCTATTTAAACAGAAATAGTTTAATGAGTACTTAGGTTTGCTGCAACAGGGAGGGTAAAAAAGTTTTTTTATATGTAAAATGTTAAAAGGTACTGTGGTTTAGTAAGAAATTAATGTATTTTCCAAATTTGATCAAAATATGTTCATAAACAAGCAAACTACAACAGTTGACTTATCCTCCATAAGAATAACATGGGAATTTTAAAATTACAATTTTTATGAATTTTCTCCGTAACAATTAGGCGCATAATAACGCTTCAATATACTAAATTATTTGGTTTTTAAGCTCTACAAAATGGTTTAAAAATAAATTGTTAAATTTTGTGTTTTTAGGGTCAAAAATGGGAAAAACCTATTTTTATCCCATAAACCCCCATTCCCATAGTCCGATCATGCTGGTTCGCGAACTCATTCAACTTCATCCCGCCTTACACCTTCAAACCAAATTTTATCAAAATCGGACAAAAATTATTTAAGTTATCGTGCGGATGGACACATATATATATATATCTAAATATAGATATATAAAAATTTGAACGAATGGTGTTTTTGGCCTCTGGGGACATCAAAATGAAAAAGTAAATCGGTCCCAGGCCTAGGTCTTACCATGAGACCTACGGTAATAGCTACTTCCCTATAGGGAAATTCGCTAATATTGAATAAAGAATAGCTTGACTTTATTACCTCATTTTAAAACAAAAAATTAGGATATTTCAATTATACTTATATTATTTTGATCTTTTTTACCTTAGGTTGTTTCTTAGGTACCTAATTTTAAATGCTAAATCAAAGTATTCATACCATTTTTTCATAAAATCAGCCATGGTAATTTAATTATAAAAATTAAAATTGCCACCATTTTGAATTGGACCAAGTAAATTTTTTCCTGAAATAAATCATTAAAGTGATTTGTCATTTACGATTTTTTTTCACTCGTAGAATCATTTCCCGGAGTTTGACTGTTTAATTACAGGACATTCTGTACATACGGCTAGATGAGAGTGACAGTGTTGCCATTTATAAGCGCAAGCGTAAAGTTTAAAAATGGCTATTAAACCTTGGGCGGGAGTTATCAGAAAAACTACTCCAATCCTCATACACATTTGGTGGCAATTTCAAGCCCTGAGGGTATTTTGATTGGTAATCTTAATCTATGCTTGATGGTGATTTATTGAATTGTTCATTTTGGCATCTTCAAGTGTATAGATGGACCAGAGAACTTATTAATTGTTTTTTTTTTATCTGATTCTGAACTAATATCAGTTAAATCATTAATTTGAAGTTTATTATGGTTTATAATGGTTTAAATACCTGCATTCAGTAATCCAATATGCTGCTTGTGGCAACTATAGTTTCGGTTCACAGGGAACCATCTTCAGGCCGTACAAGGCGTCGTTATTCACTTCCATATATGAAGGTCGTCATTTAATAAATAAGTACATAGAACACGAACACACGAAAACGCACATTGACACGAACATTTAACATAAAAATACCGAGTACTCGGGAACATGAGACAGGTGACGCGGCCGGGTGGAAGTTCTCCTTCCACCCGGTCGCGTCACCTGTCTCATGTTCCCGAGTACTCGGTATTTTTATGTTAAATGTTCGTGTCAATGTGCGTTTTCGTGTGTTCGTGTTCTATGTACTTATTTATTAAATGACGACCTTCATATATGGAAGTGAATAACGACGCCTTGTACGGCCTGAAGATGGTTCCCTGTGAACCGAAACTATAGTTGCCACAAGCAGCATATTGGATTACTGAATGCAGGTATTTAAACCATTATAAATATTCAAACGTAATCCGGAGGCTAACAACTCTTAAAAATGAAATTATTATGGTTTTGTATTTAAACAAAAATCAGTAGACCAGCAGCGGACAATTTTTTCGTTTTGCAAGTCTAGTCCATCTTTTAAGTTAATTTAAAACAAGCATTTTATGTTAAGCTGGGTTTTCCTAGGCGTGGAAACGGAGCGCGGACTCCTCTTGTCTTAGGTAATTAAATGTTACTGTTTTCCTAGAAGCGGAGCGGCATGCCTTGTTAATCGCTTTTCTACTCTCCGCCCTCCGCTCTCCTCTTCCGCATCTAGGAAAACCTGGCTTTAAATTTAAGTGATCATATTCTGAGCTTGAGAATCAGCTAATTTCTATGAAATTAAACATTATATCTAAGTTTTGCTTTTTGTACTTGGATTAATGATTTTTGTTAGAATGACTTAATATTTTGCAGATTGAAATTGTTGTATTAACTGATATAATCATTACAGTATTATTATTTAGTATGATGATTTACTGTCAATAAAAAAATAAAATACCTATTTAAAGTCTGATTTTAATATCTCTGTACAATTTACCATTTTTTTCAAAGAAGGTAAAATTTGAAATGATTAAAAAGTACAGAACCATAAAAAATCAATACAGTGACATTCATACCCATGTTAATACTATTTACCTACGACAGTTTTGTAAACTAGCCGTTTCAGATCAGTTCTTAGAATTGAAAAGATTCTTTTAACACGGGTAACGTACCAATGGGGTTCAAGGATTGGGAGAAAAGACTCAACTCACGTAAATAGGTAGCAACTCATATAGATATTCAACTCGTATAGATGGATTCAGGAGCAGAATAAGTAAGCGTTTAGTATCAAAATATTTTTATTTGTTTTCATCGATTTCCATGTTGTTTTTACTTAACTCATTCATTATTCTGGTGTCTATTTTATTGATGTCTTGACCATTCTCATTAGATTCTACAGGACTAGCTGGTCTGCTCTTTAAACAACCTCTTTTCAGGAACTCTCTGGAAAATCTTCTTAGCTTGAACTGCTGTAGAAATCTGAGTTCACCATTCCATCTGCGCAAAAACTCTACTTGGACTGGTAGGAGAAGATTGGGTAGTTCTGAAAATGAATTAAATCTGTTTAAGACTATCTCAACCCTTAGGCTACGGTCACAACTAGGCAACTCAGTTGCCGCAACCTGGTCGCAAGAGCAGGGACATATTTCCGAATAGGCGGAAAGGGCGGCAAATTTTAGGGGCGGCAAAATTTTGAGGGTAAAAAAATAAAAAAAACTAAATTTTAATCTAAAAAAAAAAATTAGCAAATAATTTTGGAAACGGCAAAATAGCCATTTCAAATATTTTGATTAAGTATACAACTATTTCAGAACGCATCCAAGTCAAACAAACGTCAATAAATTATTACACAGCTGTGTAGAGTTGTCCGTGCCGTCCGTGCTGCCCTATTGGTCTGGCGGACACGCTCGCCGCGGGTGCGGGTCGCCGTGCCACGTTTTCTGTGGTGCCGGCCGCTATGTCTAGTGACAAACGTAGAAATCACTCCCTTCTGTTTACTTCATACACCACTACGCAGCGGCAGCTCTATAGCTCAAACACAACTAGAACTTTAAGGTTATGTGAAGAAATAATTTGAGGAATCAGCAAAAGTTAAAATAGATAGTTGCTAGGCAGCGGTGACAATAAAACAATTCTATTGCAATGCTATGGATACTGATTGTGTATTTAATATGCATTCATGTTTTAAAAAGTAAGCGATCAGCTGACTTTGCGGCCCTAGGGATGTAAGAACCTGCTCGGTCCCCAAATGACGATGACTTTAAATCGTCATTTGGGCTTAAAATCGTAACTTTCAGCCACCAATTAACACATGTAAAACAGCTAAAAACATCATAGTGTAATGGAAAGTTATTAAATTTGTTGATGCAGCATGCAATATTACAAATTATTTTTCCACAAAACCAGCTGACAGGGCATGTATTGGCCATTGGGGTGATATTAGTGAGGTCGGGGAGTGCGTTGAAAAGTGGGAGCGGGAGGGGCGGCGGCAAACTTTGTTGCCTAGAGGCGGCAGATACTTAAATACGTCCCTGCGCAAGAGGTGATAGCACTAGAGCGACTTCTAACTGTTTGGATGACATTTTTGGTTTTTAATGAGAGAGGAACTGTTGCTATTTGTTAAATATCTATAAAAGGAAGGGGAAACACAGATTCGGAGTGCACTCCCTGAAACATTGTCATTTGGCACCCTAACAACATTGTTTCTAGGGATGATGTATTTTCAAATTGCACATTATTTGTAGTAGGCTATTTTCATATGAACTATTGACACATAGCTTTATCTAGAAAATAATCAAGCACACCAATGTAAAAAATAAACAAGGTTTAGAATTCCTATTGCACAAGATGATACTTAAGCTTACACTTGCACGCAAATATATAAATCAAACAGTATACTTTCCATAATGTTCTTACGTAGGCCTTCGCGGCCGATGTCATAAGAGTTCATGGTGTTTTTTGACGTCAACCGCATCGTCCCTACTAAACTATTGCCAGACGTTTCGCCCTTAATATGAAATGGTAATGTTAATGTTAAATTAATGTTAGACACTTTTATTCTTTGTCATCTAGTGTGGCCATGGGAAATCTATGTCCTAGGAATCAATGAGCATTAATAGCCGATGTTTACAATACATCAATGTTTTTCCACTGATGTTTGACGCTTTTTGACGTTGATGGTAAGTACACATGTTTTTTTACACCAATGTTTAGGACTAAGTATGTTTGTTTTAGTAGTAAGAGTGTTGATGTTTTTGTTTGTTCACATAGTATATAGTGAGATATTTTTATAATCAATGCTAAGTGAGCAATGCTTTTTAGAAGCAAGATCACGTGTTTAATTTCATTCAAACCATAATATTAGCCAGATGTTATAAATCATTGTTTGTCTATGTTTGATTTTATCATTTAAAAATTAAAAGCAAGTTAAAGCTTTGAGTTTTTTATTTGTTTTATTGTTTGAAAATGTTATTTTATGTACTGTAACTAGAAAGTTAAAAGTTTTTGATTGGTACATTTATTGGAATCTATATATTTAATACACAGTTGTAACACTGTTTTCTCAGTAATTACTGGACCGATCTACAAGATGTCTCAAATTAAAGGGGATAGTGTGTAGATTTGCCGAACTTCCTTAGAATTTACGTTTTTTCTAAGGGCTACGACCTACAGCCCTTTAAAGGTTGAGTCAATACAATTCTTATTGAAGAATATAATACACAGTTTATAAATTATTTGTCAGCTGTTTAATGTTTGTCAGACATTTGTTATTATTTTTATAACCTCACTTTCAGTATGCAATTATTAAACTTGGAGTTTCTATTTGTAAACACACGATTTTCATCAAGGAAAGTGTATTTGTTAACTTATTTTTGAAATGTTTTAGTTTTCCTGCAAAGTGATCTGAAGGGGTAATTGATTTTAAGTTTGAGTATGGAATGTGAAATAATACCCTTAGTAGGGAACGGAAACTTATTGTTTTGATCAATATAATTTATTTTGTACGGCCACCAGAATAATCATGGGGAAATCCGCTTGCAAGTTGTACATATAATTGCTAATGAGTGGGAAACGTACAAACATTTTATAGTAGGTGACAAATCTTACTCAAGATCAGTGTTAGACGTTCAGTGGTACCAAACTTTACCTTCTCGAGATGGCGAGTACGCTTGGATACGTGGAACTACAATATATCAGTGAATATTTTTTTTCAAGTACACAGGGAAGTTGGCGAAGAAGTATGTGACGACTTGATGTTTAATGGCAATGTTGACTCGGGTCATTATAGCGTTATAAAACTTTATCATTAACCCCAGGGTGTGAAAAGTATAAAAAGAAAAAGAAAATGTAATCATTAACCGGGCGTAAAGAGACATACCAAACGAAAAAAAATGTAGAGAACCATCAAACTAAAAAGGTAAAGAGCAGTGTTGGTGTTAAATGTGCTCTGGAAGTCCCTACAGAAAAATACCAACTCTTTTGAGTTGGGGTCGTTAGATTGGATTTGTCACTACTTCAAATCTATGAATTTCGAGTCAGAACAGACTAACTGGGACACAAAAATGTTTTAGTTTTCCTGCAAAGTGATCCGAAGGAAAGTGGTAATTGAGTTTAAGTTTGAGTATGGAATGTGAACCATCGAACTAAGTAGGTAAAGAGCAGTGATGGTGTTAAATGTGCTCTGGAAGTCCCTTCTAAAAAATACCAATTTTTTTAAAATTGGGGTCGTTAGATTGGATTTGTCAGTACTGCAAATCTATGAATTTTGAGTCAGAACAGACTAACTGTGTAACGCACATTTTTGTGTACGTTAGAATTTAAATAGATTTGAGCGTCGGATAGACAGTCTAGCAGTGTGGGGTTTCTTTATCTAAGAAAATTCCAGGGGACAGAGTTAATCGGGAGTTATCAGATAATCTTGTAATAATATTAGGCCGAATGTGTAAACAAAGATAAGGGCAAACCTTTTATTAGGCTACTGAATACTTTCGGTAATTTCTAATCTCTCTGGGATAGATGGATTAAAGCTTCCAAGTCAAATTAGGATTACTGAAAGATATGGACAATTTAAAATAAAATACGTAATTGATTCAGAGTGTGGTATTTCTCATGCGAGGCCAGCCCACAGGTGTTGGTGGTTTAACCACTCATCATAACATCATAATCAATTACGTTGATCGGAAAAATTGAATGACTTTACACTGGTGAACGGTGATAATTAACAAATTTCTTGACTATTCAGCTCGAATACTTTAATTGATATAATTTGAAATAGCCGTTTGTCGAGTAGAAAGGACACGATTGACTAACCAACAAAGGGAGGTTGGTGTCAATAAGCTCAGGACTGTTAGTGGAGGTTAGCAATATACAGCAATGTACTCTATGATACCTGTACTATGTTCTAATATCAAAGCCAATTAGCCTTAGGAGTGGTAGCGTCAGTTAAGATTCAAGTAGCAAGTAATTAGCAGATTATTAGCACACTGTATGTTGACTAACTAACGGTTTAAGAAGGTTAGCGTCAGTACAGGGATCTCGGGGAGTATTAAGCTGACCAACTAGCTGGAAAAGTGCTAGTGTCAGTTAAGAGACAATTAGTAGGTAATTAGCGGATAATTAGCAAACTGTTAAGCTGACTAACTAACGGTTTAAGAAGGTTAGCGTCAGTACAGGGATCTCGGGGAGTATTAAGCTGACCAACTAGCTAGAGGAGTGCTAGTGTCAGTTAAGAGACAATTAGTAGGTAATTAGCGGATAATTAGCAAATTGTTAGGCTGACGAACTAACGGTTTAAGAAGGTTAGCGTCAGTACAGGGATCTCGCGGAGTATTAAGCTGACCAACTAGCTAGAGGAGTGCTAGTGTCAGTTACGAGACAATTAGTAGGTAATTAGCGGATAATTAGCAAACTGTTAGGCTGACTAACTAACGGTTTAAGAAGGTTAGCGTCAGTACAGGGATCTCGGGGAGTATTACGCTGACCAACTAGCTAGAGGAGTGCTAGTGTCAGTTAAGAGACAATTAGTAGGTAATTAGCGGATAATTAGCAAACTGTTAGGCTGACGAACTAACGGTTTAAGAAGGTTAGCGTTAGTACAGGGATCTCGGGGAGTATTAAGCTGACCAACTAGCTAGAGGAGTGCTAGTGTCAGTTAAGAGACAATTAGTAGGTAATTAGCGGATAATTAGCAAACTGTTAGGCTGACGAACTAACGGTTTAAGAAGGTTAGCGTCAGTACAGGGATCTCGGGGAGTATTACGCTGACCAACTAGCTAGAGGAGTGCTAGTGTCAGTTAAGAGACAATTAGTAGGTAGTTAGCGGATAATTAGCAAACTCTTAGGCTGACGAACTAACGGTTTAAGAAGGTTAGCGTCAGTACAGGGATCTCGGGGAGTATTAAGCTGACCAACTAGCTAGAGGAGTGCTAGTGTCAGTTAAGAGACAATTAGTAGGTAATTAGCGGATAATTAGCAAACTGTTAGGCTGACTAACTAACGGTTTAAGAAGGTTAGCGTCAGTACAGGGATCTCGGGGAGTATTAA